CTTCACTTACTTGCACACTTGATTTCATCATCTTGAGTGAGATTGGAGAGCCTCTAGTGCATTACTTAGTGGTCTAGCATATTGTGGCACTAGTTGGGCGATTTGGGCTGGTAGAGAACTTGTTACTCTTGGTGTTTGCTAACACCTCGATGGCCCGGTGATTGGTGGATCGTCGAGGGGAGGAAGGTGATTGTCTCCGGCTCTGATCGTTGTGATTGTGAGGGGTTCTTGTGCCTTCCCCGGTGGAGCGCCAAAGGCAACTCTAGTGGATTACGCATGGCTTGTGGATCCTCATCTTGTGTTGGTTGTGCGGCATCCGGTTGCGAGTTAGGCGTGTGATGCATATTAGCATGTGAACCTCCAAGTGAGTGAATCGTCTCAACAGGGACTAGCTTGCCGGCAAGCAAGTGAACCTCGGAGGAAAAATCATTGTCATCATTTATCTCTTTAGTACTCTTTTGTATTCATTGATTGGTCACTTACCACGGCGATATATCTCCTCTACCACTCTCATGCATTAGATTATGTATTTACCTTTGTAAGAGACCGTGACGCCTAAGAGGAAGGGGTGAATTAGGCAACTTAAAAATCTACTCTAAACTATGGCCTCTAATTTCACCTAGTCAAAACCTATACAAAAAGGTAATCTATCTAGATGTGCAACTACAGTTTTGCTATGTGTATTGCTATCTCTACCGCAAAAGAGTTATGCAACCTAGGTTCTAATCTTATCAACTAGCCTATCAACTAAGCGAGAAAGGTAAAGCAATCAACCAAAGTAGCAATGTGAATGCGGAAGGTAAAGATGAGGTAGAAATGCAAACTCCCGTCGACGACTCCGGTATTTTTACCGAGGTATCGAGAAGCGCTCAAGTATCCCCCTAGTCCTCGTTGGAGCCCCTCGCAAGGAATCCCTCGCAAGGGCCAAGCTCCTGATTGGGTAACTCCGTGGATAGCCCTGGGCCTCCCCCATGCGCAAGTGGGTCTCCGGTGTGCTTTTCAGCAAGCCTTTCCCAGACCGCTCCCTACCGTCTTCAATATCAAGCTTCCGGCCGAAACCGCCGCGGGCCTTGTTCCCTTCGGTACATGGTGACGGCCACACCACAAACGCGGTTGGTGTGGTCTCGCAAGACTACAAGATCCTCCGATGTACAACAATGGTGCACACAAGCACCGAGTGATAAGAGGTGTGCAAACCTCACTAAACACTAGGCCTAAAACTAGAGCAAGAGCATAAGCGGTGGTCTAATCAATTTAAGCACTTCGCAAAGCACCTATGCTAATCACCTAATAAATCACTAAGCACTATACAAGTGGAGATCACAAAAATGGTGTATCAACACCCTTGGTATGTTTCCTCAGCTCTCCTCACTTCAAATGGCCGGTTGGGGGTTATTTATAGCCCCACAAGTGAGAACTAGCCGTTGGACCCGAGACCCAACTCTCTGCTAGTGACCGGACGCTGATCACGTTCTGATCGGACGCGTCCGATCCTGCCGACCGTTGGAGCGCGCGCGTTGATCGGACTCTAGGCTGAGTCCGGTCACCTGTCACCAGACGCGTCCGGTCGCGACTACGCCTCTCTGGAACCTCTCTGGACTCGATCGGACGCTGCTTGTGCGTCCGGTCGTCCACTGCCGCAGCATCCGATCCTTACTGATTTGTTGCCATGCGATGAACAATAACGCCTTAGCGTCCGGTCGCTGCTGCTGACGCCTGCTGTTGCCGAGCAACTTGATCGGACGCGTCCGGTCCTCATAGGGCCACATTCGGTCACCACTGCCGGGTTTGTTTCTTCACGATCTTGCGTCTGGCTTGGTTCTCATCTTCATGCTTGAACTTTGCTTGATTTTTTGGGTTTTCTCTTATGCTTCTAAGGTCTTGCTTATGGTGTTAATCGTTGGATCATCATGTCGCCTTCGTCCAAGTCACGTCTTGCATCCTATTGAACTACAAAACAATTACTTGCAAGTTTATTAGTCCAATTTAATTGTGTTGGTCATCAAACACCAAAATCCAAAATAAATGGACCTAGGGTCCATTTTCCTTACAACCTTGTATGGAGCTTGTGGTAGTTGTAGCTAGTTGTGTAGCTTAGCTTCTTAGTTGTAATTAGTTCCTAGCTAGCTCAACTAGTGTAGAGAGTAGCGACATAGCTCTTGAGTGCTTAGTGATCCTAATTAACTAAAATTGTTGGTAGGTGGTTTACGTTTTTAGTAGGCTAGCGCAACACTTGCTTCGTCTCATAATTATCTAACCTCTTGACTTAGTGTTGTTATAGATTTTTTATAGGCTATTCACCCTCTATAGCCATTAGGATCTTTCATTCGATTGTGCTTTTTCTAAAGATTTCACCAAGTATAGATGACCATGCCGTTGAAAACATGTTTCCGTTCTTTGGGATGAGGCGTTGATTGTTGTCCCACCAGTCTGCTAGTGTGGTGAAATTTATGTGTTGCGTCATGTCAATCGCCTCGAAGTGTTCCATAAATTTGGTTCCATACTGTTTATGCAAAAGGGCAAGCGATGTAAAGGTGGTAACCGGTCTCTAGTGGGCCATTGCATAAAGCAGAAGCGTCTTGATGGGGCCATCCACGTTGAGCAAGGTTGTCGGACGTGAGGACTTTGTTTTTGGATGAGGATCCATGTGAAAATTGTGCATTTATTTTCTGCCTGCGCTTTCCAAATATAATGTCGCTTGTTCTGTATCTTCGGTAGGAGCCCAAGAATTGTACTTTGTATGCTGAATTGGTGTTGTATTGTCCATCCGCAGTCCATTTCCAAGCAATTTTATCTTCTTCATCCAGCTGTAAATGGACATTCTGAATACGGATCCAGAGGGATGCGCGGTAGTGATCTTTCCTCTCAAGGTTCTAATCCAGTTGTTGTTTGTGAGTTCCTGTTGCACTGTTTTGTTTTTCCTCCTTACCAATTGGAAAAGGTGGGTGATAAGATTGGCTCAAGTCCAAATTCCTTTTAGTTGTCTAAAATAACACAATCCATCGTTTAATCTTCAAGCTGTGCGGAGGGTGTCAATAAAAATTGTATAGGATTTCATATCTAGGCATATTCCCTGGTCGACCATCTTCTGAAAAAGCTGACAAATGTTTTCTGTGTTACAAGCTATTCCATGCACATTAAGTAAAAAAAATAAAAATAAATTGTGGATGGTGCAACTAGGTTTGCATCCATACTTTATCATCTAATTAAAAAGATTTTCTGCATCAAAAATACGGTTGCACCTACTATCCTGAGACGGAGGGAGTATATCTTTCCAATTTTTAACAGCCAATCAAGAAGAAAACCATATGTACATGTATTGGGTAGAAGCCTTCCCTCATCAGATTATAATAATATAAGTTTAAAGCCTGATCTTTTTTTTTGGTTTTGCGAGACCATAAATGATTGCCTTAAAAGTTATAACATTGATTCAAATCCTCTGCAATCTCCTCTTGGACTTTTAGCATTTCCTCAATCCGCATTGACTTTCCTATGGCATCAAGAATCAGATTGTAAGTGAACTGATCTGGGCCACATCCTAGTCTTTTCATTTCTGCAAACAAACCCTCAGCGATATCAATCAGGTATTCATCCACAAGGCCACTGATAAGAGAATTATATGGGCCAGTTTTTAGTGAAACTCCAACAGCTACACAATCTTAAGTGAGAATGCTATTTACATCAGAAGTGCAGCAGCCAACAATCATGACTTCTTGGTAAAAGGCAGAAGGAAAAGATCTAACATGCAAATAATGTCATTCAAGTTTTGGAACAAATTCACAGCGGAGATGCAAGTACTCTTCTAATATGGAACAATAAGATAGCCTATTCAGCCGCACAGCATGAAGTGAGCATTTCTATTAAGATCTAGGTGCAACAACACTCTGCATATTGATATTTGATAAGCTATATGTTATGGTGGGCAATGTCTACCAACGCAGGAAGCGTGCGTGGCTGAATCGCAGTCGCATGGCCAGCGCGCCGGAATGTGTCCAGAAGCTAACCGTGATCACCGCAGGAGATCGGGCGTAGTCAAGTTGCTATTCTTAGATGCATGTTTGTTTGAATCGAGGCGTAGTCAATTTGCTATTCTTGGATGCATGTTTGTTTAGATCAAGGCTATAAAGCCGAGAACATTCAGCTAATAAAGATTAAGCTGGAAATTGGGTCAATCTCTCCAGCTGCCCCTCTCATACCACGCTGTTGTCTGCGACGTCGCAGCCTCGCCGCCGGGCTGTCAGGCCTCGGCCACCCGTCTCCCACCCGTATCTCCTGAGTAGTAACTCCGGTTCTAACACTATAACTTGATGATCATGGCCTCATCAACATGAATAATCAATTTGACAAAAACTGCAGGCTAAAAGGTGACAGAAGAACACATGACCAGCTGCTCAGCTGAGTGATATATGCAAGATAATGCTTTAGCAAGACCATTTCTTCCAACCATTATTCTGAAAGAGTGAATTAATAACAGCAAATGGATCAATCAATTAAATGAGTATAACAAACCATAAAAAAACATGGTGCACAATGGGAGAAACGTCTCAGAAAGCCATCACAGTTATGTAGTATGCAGTGTTTGGTCAGAACAGAGTACTGTGTGTCAACAAATAGAACTAGCAAAGGCAATTTTGTCAGCCTAATTCAGTAATTGAATCATAAGTAATCTTATCCCAGAATACATAACATGCCACGTTAATAGCAGCAGAAACCACTATTATGGTAAAACCTGTAGCTGTACTGCAAGTCAATCTATTTCATGACAGACAGGTGAATTCGGCAGGTGTGACTGCTTTCAACATGCCAGTGAAATGGAGCACATGGTAACATTATCTGTATATTACATAAATTTCTGATAGTAAGAATGGAACAATAATGTAGAACAAGATCTATCAATCCTCAGATATGTTAAAAGTATTGGCTACTATCTACAGTTGATCCTTTTCGCACTATGGACAAAACTATACAGAAATAACTTCATACTATAACTAATTTCTCAGTCACAATTGATTTGGAAGTTGCATATAAGTGCTAGAATTAGGCTGGCACCCTCCAACAATCATCTGACCATAGGCAGCATATGCATTATCGGTACTGCCAGAAACACTGTAACCCCTGATAAGGGCATTATATGTGAAAACATTAGGTTTCCATCCTTTTATCAGTAGTTCTTCATACATTTGTGAAGCTTCAGCAGCTTTCCCTAAGTGGAGAATTAGTGAATTGTATGTGTACAAGTTTGGGATAATTCCTTTCTTCTTCATCTCGTTGAAGAGACAGACTGCTTCCTCTATTCTTTCAGATTTTCCAAGGCCATCAATGAGCAAATTATAGATGATAAGATCAGGTTCAAGTCCTAACTCTAGTAGCTGTCTAAAGTAAGACAAACCATCATTTAATCTTCCAGCTGTGCAGAGGGTATCAGTAAGAACTGTATAGGATTTTATATCTGGGTTTATTCCCTGCTCAACCATATTTTCAAAAAGCTGACAAACATTTTCTATGTTGCCAGCTATTCGATGTCCATTCAGTAGAATATTGTAGATGGTGCAATTAGGTTTGCATCCATACTCTAGCATCTCATTAAAAAGATTTTCAGCATCCATCTTTCCAGCTTTTAACAATCCATCGAGAAGAGGACCATATGTACATGGTGTTGGGGAGAAGCCTTCGCTCATCAGATTGTAGTACAAGTCTATAGCCTGTTCCAATCTTTTCGATTTTACGAGACCTGAAATGATGGTGTTATAAGTAACATAAGTTGATTCATATCCCTTACGATGCATCTCCTCTTGGACTTTTAACATTTCCTCAATCCGCATCGATTTCCCCATGGCATCAAGAATCAAATTGTAAGTGAACTCATCTGGGTCACATCCTAGTCTTTTCATTTCAGTGAACAAGTCTTCAGCGATATCAATCAGGTTTTCATCCACAAGGCCACGGATAAGAGAATTATACGAACCAGCTTTTAGTGAAACTCCAAGACCTTTAAACTTATTGAAGAGTTGATGCGCTTCAAGAGCTTTCTTGTGCTTGCAGTGGTGCCTAATCAATGGGCATAAAAAGAAATCATTCAGCAGAATTCCCCTAGATGCTATGTTTTCAGCAAACTCGATCGACTTTTCCACACCAGCCTTCTTCAGTATACCTTCCATCAGTGAATGGAATGAAGACTTGTCTGTGTTACAATCAGCCTTCAAAATGTATTCCTCTACAGTATGCAGAGCTTCCTTCATCAACCCATTTTTCACGAAACTTGGGAGGATAGTACACAGTGTTGTGTAATCCAGAACAAGAATCTTTTTCATTTGACAAAACATCCTGAATGCCTCTTCAAATCTTTCCTCTTTAATAAGGCCATACATGACAGTGTTATAAGATGAGAGGTCAGGTGTGCAACCTTTCTCAGTCATACTGTAAAGCATATCTATTGCACAGTTCACCTCCCCATTTTTGCTGAGACAATCAAGAACTGTGTTGTATGTAATTAAATTAGGTGGATGAGTGATATGGGTCATTTCTTCGAGCAGATGCATTACCTCCTTAACTTTGCCTTCTCTTCCTAATCCTGACAAAAGTGTGTTGTACGTACCATTAGTGGGCTCAATTTTCATTTCTTTCAATTGATGGAAAAGTTGCCATGCTTCATTTCCCTTGACTCCCTTGTAGAGCGTATCAATCAATGAATTCAACGCAAGAACATCAGGAACACATCCAGTTTCCACCATGTCAGAAAAAAATTTCATAGCTTCATCAGCTTTTGATGCCTTACTGCAACATTTGATCATCATGGTGTAGGTGATAGTGTCTGGAGAAACTCCCATCGCTTTTAATTCATAAAAGACCCTTTTTGCCATTCCAAGTCTGCCAGATCTAGCAAGACTAGACAAAACAGCGTTAGCAGCAGCAACATCGGGAACGATCCCTTTGCTCTTCATGTGCTCATATCTTTGTATTGCTTTCAAAGATTGACCAGATTTTCCATAGTAATTAATGAAGAGGACGTGTGTAGCCATTTGGACTAGGACCACAAGCATTCATATGGTTGAAGAGCTCCAGAGCACGGTCAAACATATCAGCTTTCAGAAACCCAGATATTAAGGAGTTAATGAATACTGCTCAGGCGATATACCCTTTTCCTTCATCTCATCAAACACAGCCAAAGCTTCATCAAGCCTCCCAACTTGGCATAATGCATCCACAACTGCGGTATAAGAAACAATATTGTCGTTATACCCATCAGCTACCATTGCATTCCAAATTTCGACAACTGAATGTGAGTCACCACTGTCACCACACTTGTCTAAGAGAGTGATGTAAGTGACACGATCAGGTTTCTGATCACTCGCTTTCATCTTCCAAAACACATCCTTGGCGTCACTGAGCCGACCAGCATCACAGAGAACCTGTATAACCACAGTATGCGTGACGACATCTGGTTTGCACCCTGAATCCTCCATCTTTCCAAGAATCTGATACGCCTCGTCAAACCTCGCGGCCTCCCCAAGAACCCGAATGCAGATGGTGTAGCTATACACATTTGGCTTGACGCCGCGGGCCTCCATCTCGCTCAGCAACCAGAGAACCGTGTCGACATCCCTCTTCTTCCCGAACGCCACCATGAGCACGGAGTAGGTCCTCACGCTCGGCGAGATGCCGTCCTCCACCATCGCCTTGTAAACTTCCATGGCCTCAGCGTCGAAGCCGGACTTGACGAGGAAGTAGATCAAGCCATTGTACGTGTAGGCGTTGAGGGACATCCCCGCCTCCCTCATCACAGGCAGAGCCACGGGCGCGCTGCGGAGCCCGCCCTGGACGCCGACGCCGCTGAAGATGGTGGCGAACGTGCCGACGTTGGTCTTGACGATCTGCTTCTGCATTAGGTCGAACACCTGCGCCATGTCCCCGACCCGGCCGTGGGCGCGCATCAGCTCCAGCATGTAGTTGCACGACTCCGTCGTGTGGACCGCCGTGGGCTGCCGCGCCGCGGCCGTGAAGAGCTCCAGGGCCTCGGCGGGGCCGGCCGCCTACCGGAGCATGTGGACGACGCTCTCCGCCGTGCCCGCGGCGGCCCGCCGTTCGTGAACCCGGGGCGGCGGCGCTGGCGGGGCCGACTGGCGGCAGCCGGCGCGGCCGCCTCGCCGCCGCTTCGGCGGAGCTACCAGGAGCCCAGTGGACGGAGCCCCGGTGTTACCGGACCTTGAGGTCCTCGACGGCGCCGGTCGCGAGGCGCCGGCGCCGCTTAGGACGCCTGAGCAGCAGAGCTCCATGGCCGCTCCACACGGCAGCAATGGCGAGCGGAGCAGCGATGAGCTCAACTGGGAAATCCGGAATGGGTTAGCTGCTGTGGCTTGGTCGTCAGGCTATCTCCGACATCAACACCAACAAATACGAGATTCATTCGTTTTTAGATAACATTATGGATAAAATTTTTAATACTTATTCGACATTTTCTCCAATAATCAGACTAAAAAAAATTCTTTCTATAAATGAGTTTCAAAGAGAGAGGATATCCATATTTAAGTTGTACCTCTTAAGTAATCCAAAATAGATCTAATTTTATGTTTTTTTGCTACACATTTTAGATTTAGATGGTTATTTGTTGTTGGAGACAATCTTAGCCCACTGATGATCCCGCCGCGGTGATGGCGGAGAAAATGCAGAGGGATATGGTTTCTCAATGCAGATAATGCAGATACTTGGGTCCTGACTTCTGAGCCAGTGATCCCGGCACCTGTATCTTTTCCCACTATCATCTTTTCCCACTATCCCGGCACCTGTATTTTTATTATTTTCTATTTGAATTAGGATTTCAAAGATTTGTCTTATTTTTATTCTTTTCTATTTGATTTAAGACTCCTATTCAGGTTATTTAGAATAGATATATCTATTTGAATTAGAATTCCTATTCAGGTTACCTTAAAACCTATATCGAAGTCATACATATATGTCATATAAAATAGGAGAGATGTAGAAAGAACAGAGATAGTTTTTAATTGGACCACACAAGATGTACGTCCTGTTATAACGTACGGTCATATTTTCTATATATTATTTGGGTTTCTCGTGTCCTAATCCATCATCAATATTTTTCTCAGATTTTTAGAAGCTTAGAGATATTTTTCGTGGTTTAAAAACCTCATTCAGTATTTACTGGATTTATTTAAAAAATAAAAAGACATAACCATCTTTAAAAACCACCTATAATTGGGTTAGGGAGGTAAAATGAACGGTATTAAAAGTTGAGGGAGGTGGTTTACTCGGTTTTAGAGTTCAGTAGGAAAACTAGACTTAGAGGATAGTTGTAGCTAAAAAAGACTTTAGAGGATAGTTAAGGAGGTAAAATTAACTTTTTATATATACTATCTAGCGTGCCCGTGTGTTGCTACGAGACAACTAAACTTTTGTACTAAAAACACACGGATCGCACGATAAGACAACGATAATGTAAGACATTAAACTGACATTTAATCCAAAAATCAAAGTTTATGAAATTAACAGTCACTAAGAGCACGACACTGTAGACTCACAAACTCTACTATATAGACATTTCCGTGATACGACTAAAATAATATTTTATATCGGCAAGAAGTCTCCGATATTACAAACTAAATGAAGCAATCAAATATGTCAGACAAACATTGCTCAATCCACATATTTTGAACATGTTTGACCAATGAAAATGCACAAAATGACTATTATATTAAACTAAATTCATGTCTATCATTTATTCAAAGTGCATGTCACAAGCATGTAAATAATTTTAATATTATTTAGTTCTCTAAATCTATGAGACGCGACACGGTGTTCTTAGCAAATTCTTAAACTCGGCGACGTCTGGCTTCATCAACAAGCAGACGATTGCATAGGCCTATAAACAAATAAAAAACTTTTGAGTCAGTGTTGTAGTCAATAAATTAAATCAATAAATTACCCCAAAAGAACCTCACTTTGAAAATCATGCGCCTGATTACAAATATGACTAAATACCAATTCGCTGAAATCATCAACAGTGGTCACTCCGCCTTTCATGCACGAGCAAAAAAAAATGTAATAACTGATACTTTATTTAGTCAATACATATGAGGACATCAGTGATACAATACCTCTCTTTCTATTCATTTGTACGTGGAGCCCAGCTAAAATGCGCAACTCTGATGCCGCTCGCCGTCATTCCGATAAGTGACGACATATGTGTGTATACTTGATGGTTATTATGATGCAGTGGTACCTACGAGTTACAAAATTGATTAGCATCAAACAATAAAAAAATTGATAGCATAGAGCAATAATAAAATTTTCAATCTAAATACCTTTCATTCATCAGCACCACATATCTGTACGGTCGCATCCGCACGTCATCCCTTCCTCGAATATTAGACACATGCACAACTATACCAATGACATCTACAAACACAAACGATAGTTATTGATGGAATAGGAGCATGAACAGTTAACTATGTATTTTTAAATATAGGCGTATGAGGTATACCTGAAAAAAAAGTACTCAGCTTGAGCATATACATCCTCGAATTCTATAAAGGTACGAGGACACTGACAAATCCATAGCTCTCTCGGTGGTGCATTAATCATACTTTGTGGAGATAGAACCACAAAGTAGTCGGCACATAAACAGAAGATGTAGCCCAAAGGACCAACATGAGTAGGCGCGAAGCCAACTCTCATGAAGTCATAACATTCTCCTACACGAAGCAAAAGGTCGAACCTCATGGTTTGGTCGCCGTACACAACCGCTTCCATTTTGGTTCTCTGTAAGAATATTAGATCCAACAGATAGATAACAATGGTCTGTAGAAAAAAATTAGACATGGTCCAAAAAGATGAGCTCAAAATGCACCTGCTCATCCTTCAAAATTACACGCAAATATGTATCACCATGGTGATGTCGTACGTTGCCTTTCCAAAAAAACCATGGCACTCACATCCCATATGGAAGAATGTGTTCCATTCCAACTTCATGGAATTCAACCCATCTACAATCTCGTCCGTGTCAATCAAAATGATAAAAACACACGAGTAAACCTACGTTGATAGAAAATGATTGCCTTGATCAATTACAAGATAAATGTAACATAGTTACCTGTAGATGTGTGTATCGGTGATTACAGACGGCGGGTCAGCGTACACCCTCTTTCTTTTGAGCGACCGACAGCTAGAACCCATATCAGCAACTAAGAAACCAAAATCATGAAAAATATACAAGATGACATTAGTCAGTCTGAACATAATATACTATTATTCTATGGAGATCTGCAAGAAATTAAAGATTTAAAGTTGTCCACGTGCTCTGTGCCTCTGTCATGTTATCTTGATGACATCATGTGAGGCCTCTAAAATAACTACAACACCTACATTGTTCATTTGTTAGCATACATGACTGCAAATTTGATGCCCGTGCGTGGCCACGTGCCAACAAAATTTGAACGGTGATAGATCATGATGCAAATCAAACCACCAAAATGAGATCATGTTTTGGTTGCTATCATGATGCCTTAGAAATAATTTTTGGTTTATATGATTTATTATTAGAGTTGTGTAGCCTCCAGAAATCCAATCCAAACAGGGCCATGAAATTGACAATGTATATTAACAATGACTCAGTATTACAAAATTCGGTTCCAAATATTTACAAAGTTGATAATGGGTTGCTAATGCTCTGATCTGAAACGTTAGACAGGGCTTAAAAACTGAAGCAGGCATTCAGACAAGACAGGGAAGCTGCTGTTACAGCACAGAACTGAATTGGAGAAAAGAAATGGTGCTCCTGTTATGCCGCAGTTTCTGAAATGATACCGGACACAGGCGACACATCTAGTTTTTCAAAATTTATCACAGGCAAGTCAAATTGAAAATGGTTAGTGCTTTCCAACAAGATCCGTATAAAAGAGAAGCAAAGAGAAGAGAAGGGGTGGACATACCTGCTGGGTGCCCTTACAAAGATCTAACAAAGGAACCGATGAAGGACCAGGCGGGCATGCGAGCGAGCGAGTGTGCGACGCCAAGTCGACGATTCCCTTATGAATGTTTTAGTTGTAATAATAGAGATTGCCTTCTTCAAAGATATGGCATGCCTCCAGTCAGGTTGAATCTACAGGAAAGAAATCATGTAAGTTAGATATTGGAATTCAAGGCAATAATATCCAAGAGAATTTGGGAATTTTAAATCTTAAAGACTCAGTGGTCCTATCACATAAGCCAGAACGAACTTCTGACAAGAATCATAAACAACTTCCGGTACATAACACATACCCAGTGCACATGTAGGTTAGGAAATTCCACAAACTTAAATATTCACAATTTTCATAATTGTTGTGTGCACGTAATCAATTATAGAAGATTTAAATATTGCACATGTGCTGACATTGTGAACTTCATCATCGGTACAAAATTTTAGAAGAAACAGCATGGCAAGTGGAACCAGTGATATAACTCATTATATTGCAAATATATTGATCTGACATCATGGACAAAAAACAGTGGGCCATACATGCTCAAATGGTGAGCGACCACATGTTTCAAGCATATGCATGAGAATTTTACAAAAATGCCCATCCAAATTGCTCATGCAAATCGGATAGATCGTCATATTCAGTATCACATGTCAACTTTTGCTTATAGCTGACCAGGGACAAGACAATGCAAAAGGAGTGACAGGAGGCAAACAAACTAAATCAATGCCTACACATCTATTCCTTACTGTGAAGCATGAGCAGAAATAACATAAACATTCAGACATCCATGAACACCAGTTCTATGGTGATGTGCATACAGTAGCTCCATGCCATCCTAACCATAACAATGGTAATGTGGCAAAAACAGAGATGCTACCAGATCAAACAAGCAACAATGTAAGAAGAGAAGAGAGAGAGAAACCTTAGCT